CCGAAGGCCGCCAGGGACCGTGTCGCGGTGGTGCCTTGGAAGGTCGTGGTGTCTCTGTCTGTCGTTCTGCCTGACTGCCTGTGTATGGTTGTATGTTTTGTATGTTTGTTTGTTTGTATGCATACATACATGCATTTATGTATGTATGTATGTATGTATACATAACTGTGCATGCACGCATGCATGCATTTATGTATGTAGGTGTGTGTGTGTATATGTATGTATGTATGTATGTATGTACGTACGTACGTATGTATGTATGTCTTGTATGTATGCATGTATGTATGTATGTATATATGTTTGTATGTATGTATGTATGTATGTATGTATGTATGTATGTATGTATGTATGTATGTATGTATGTATGTATGTATGTATGTATGTATGTATGTATGTATGTATGCATCTATAAGTGTGTATAGATGTGTAGAAATATGCATGAATGCATGCATTTATGTATGTAGGTGTGTGTGTGTGTGCGTGTGTGTGTGTATGTATGAATGCATGCATGTATGTATGTATGTATGTATAAATATGTACAAATATGTATGCATGCATGCATGTATTTATGTATGAATATGTATAAATATGTATGCATGCACGCATGCATGCATTTATGTCTGTAGGTGTGTGTGTGTGTGTATGTCTGTATGTATGTATGTATGTATGTATGTATGTATGTATGTATGTATGTATGTATTTATGTACGTACGTACGTATGTACGTATGTATGTATGTCTCTATGTATGTATGTATGTATGTATGTATGTATGTATGTATGTATGTATGTATGTATGTATGAATGTATGTATGTATGGATTTATGTATGTATGTGTGTATGTATGTATGTATGTATGTATGTATGTATGTATGTATGTATGTATGTATGTGTGTATGTATGTATGTATGTATGTTTGTATCTATGTATGTATGTGTGTATCTATTTATGTATGCATTTATGTATGTAAGTATGTATGTATGTGTGTTGTATGTGTGGATGGATGGATGGATGGATGGATGGATGGATGGATGGATGGATGGATGGATGGATGGATGGATGGATGGATGGATGGATGGATGGATGGATGGATGGATGGATGGATGGATGGATGGATGGATGGATGGATGGATGGATGGATGGATGGATGGATGGATGGATGGATGGATGGATGGATGGATGGATGGATGGATGCATGCATGCATGCATGCATGGATGGATGGATGGATGGATGGACGGATGGCTGGATGGATGGACGGATGGACGGATGGATGGATGGATGTTTGGATGTATGGACCTATGGATGTACGGATGTATGCATGTATGTACGGATGTATGATGTATGGATGTATGGATGTCTGGATGTCTGAATGGATGTATGTATAAAAGCATGCATCAGTCAACAAATACTCTCCAGGGGTCCTCTACACGGACGTACAATCCGTTAACCCATTATCCATTCTTGGCATGTAAGGAAGACCTTAGATTGTAGAAAAGAAACAATAAAACACGTCTCAACCACCACCCCCAAAAAGGCAAGCGCCTCAAGCTCAAGGGTTACAGGAATTGATGCGCCTTGTTTGAGGGAAGCCTATTTGAACTGCTTAGCAAGCCTAGCTACAAGGCTTTGTTGGAGGTCAACTCAATCGGAAAGAGGCTTGTAACTCAGAGCAAGCTCCCAAATCATCGAAGCAGTCTTCTTCGGTGTGGGAAAGGTTCGGGGGGAAGCCAAGCTCCCTCTTTGCTGGTGTGTGTGTGTGTGTCTGCTTTTCCCCTGAAGCAACTCGCAGTGCACGCAAGCCTAGGTACTCAATTCGAAGCGGCAGGACCTTTAGGGGGTGGTATCAGAAAAAGTGGCCCTACAAGTCAAATTCTTCCGCGCGAAAGCCTTTCTTCTGCTTCCCGCCCCGGCCAAAAAAAAACGGAAAAAAACGCGGCGGGGTCTCTCGCCCCGGCCCTTCCGAGCCGCCGAAGCCCGCGCCCAGCACCGGCGGCCTCGTCGCCGTCGCCTGAGCGGCTCCGCCGAAGTGGCGGGCCTGCAGCAGGCGCCCCTGGCCCGGCAAGAGGCGGTCCGCTTCGCGGGCGTAGTCCTCGATGCCTCGAAGATCCGGCGGTTGGATCTTGTTCACTTTTGTTGTAAATAATGTTTTAGGTTTTTTTCTTTAAAAAAAAATACACCAAAAAAAGTGTGGCTTCCCCTTCACCTTCTTTGGCTTGATCTCTTCAGTGATTGCCACGAGGCGAAAGTTTCCATCGACTTGGGCCGAACTGGTACCACGCTTCTCCCCCAACGTGACTATGGCTTGTTTGGTTTCAGCTTCGGAGGTACCCTCAACCCGGGTGCCCCAAAATTGCCACGTTCAACGGCTGACTTCAAACAAAGGAGGACATTGGATTGATCTATCTTCCCATGTTTTGCCCTCAGTTTTGACCATGACAAGCAGTCCATTTTCCCTGACGGCCATCCGATGTCAAAGAACCTTTTGTTCAACCCCCATCTGGAGAACAGCGGTCAGGGTGATACTGTCAAAAGGTAACTTGGTAAGATGGACGGAAACCTCAGATAATTGTTCTGTTTGGTGTTGGGTTTGTGAGCTTGGGGTTTTGGTCTTGGGGAATTATGCTGCATGTTTGTGTTTGATGTGTCGGGATGTTTAGCTGTGTGTGGATGTTGTTGTTTCTATTGTTGTGCTTGTTTTAGGGTTTGTACTTGGATTGTCTTTCCTTTTGCAAATGTCTTTGGCTTTTGTTGGTTTTTCTGTTGTGTCTGTGTGTGTGTGTGTGTGTCCTCGCCTCGAGGGGAAGAATTGCCAGTGGATAGGCACTAGAATCAAGATTCCGCTTGGCCATCCAAACGTGTTTGGACTGGTCATCACCCCGATGACTAAAGGAAAACGTCAAACTAGAGACCAGTGATGCCATTGTCCCGTAGCAAAAAAACAACTGTTCTCGATAAAGGGAGAATGGCTGGTTGCCTGCTGTGCTGGCAATTAGGATCTGCTTGTGTTTGGAGGTTTGCACACAGGAGCGAGAGTTCCTGTCGGACAATGTCCTTAGATTGCTGAAAAGGTGGTTTCTTTGAGGATCCTTGCCCAGTGCATCTCAGCAAAGTCACCCTAGTCGTCAGTCCATAGGTTGTGAGGGATGATTCTCCTGGTGACGATGGTCACCTACTGTGTGCAAATAACATAATGCGTTCCCCCCCGATACCAATCATCTTGTCTTCTGGTTGTGTTCCTTCCAAGCAGGGGGCGAAAAAACCGGACTCATCAAAGGGCACCAGGCCCCCCTGACACAGAGACCTACATGGTAACCCAAGCGCCCCGGCGACCCAAAGCTAAAACAAAGGAAGGGGAGGGTTCCACCTGTCAAAGGTGTGCTGAAACAAACGACATTTGTGCTGAGGAATCGAAAAAAGTCCTGACCAGCCTTTACTCCAAGGGGCACTGCCACTGCGAAGGCGTGAAGGTGGGGTCTGTGAAGTCGAATGAGGTCTTGACAGATTCGCTGCGTCTTTGCACCAGGCACTTGCTCTGTCCTCGAGTCGTTGTCTCTCACAAAAAGCAGGCGAAAACTGCAGGAAGCGAGCAAAACTTCCTTCAAGAACCAGGATTTCCTGCAAAGTGTCCTGTACACGGGTGTCCTTTTAGCGGCAATAGATGACCCTAGCAAACAACTAAACCACCGGGTAAACCAGGTAACCAGGAATGGCCATCTATTTGTCTAGCAAAACAACCAAAAAGGACACCTATGGTCCTGTAGCTGGTTGCTTGGACCAGCGAGCAAAAAAAACAGACGACTCTTGCTGGACTCGCTCGCGCCTTGCACCGGGACTTCGGGAAGGCTTTCGCATTGAGCATCGCCTCAAGTCGGCTTGAAACATGTTGCCGCCAAACTGTTTTCAGGGACTCTTCCACCCCCAAAGAAAGGCTGAATGGTTTGCACCACTCACTGGAGTCATCTGGGTTTGGGCTAACCTCCTCCTTTGGAGTCTCACTTGCCGACAGGACCTGGAACTTGTACATTGAATGAACGACAAGTCAGAGAACCAAAAGGTCACATGTGATTTGCTCAAACAGAAGGGGGCCGATTCATTTTGTTGAGGGTTTTGCCCACCCCCCCCCCCGCTTGGTTTTGGGAACTTGGAATCCACAAGGGGGTACCTTCATCCAGAGTGAGCTGATTTTACCCCCTTGCGAGCCCGTCCAGAATCTTCTGACTACTCAGCGTGGCCCCTTTTTAAAGCGCGCCAAGTAGCTGCGACTACTCGCCACAGCCAGGGCTGTTGCAAGGAGAATGGCAAACATGGAGTCCGCTGCCATCGGTAAGTTGGTCTAAGATGTGGCTGCTTAAGCCAATGCTGCAAATGGCACGATCGCGCCTTTGCTTCAAGGGGCAACGTCCCATTCCTCCCATGAACATGCTTGAAATGAATGGGAAATCAAGCCCTGAAATGTGAGCAAAACACGCTTCCACAGAGATAGAACTACGAAAACGGGCCGGGCCCCACACGGTGGTAATGGCACAGCCGTGTTGGCCCTGCTTGTCAAGAACAGGGCTGCAACCCAACCAATCCAACGAGACTTCCCTTGCTGAGGTCGCCCTTCGCGCGACCCTTTGACTCTTCTCGTGGGCGAGATCAAAAGACAGCCTGTGGCCCAACCTGCGCTTTCGAGCTTGGCCAAACTTGGGGCCTGAAAGGGCAAAAGGCAAAAGGTCAGCGAATGGCGCAAAGTGTCGAGCGTTTCCGCGAAGGGATGAAACAGTTTTGGCCAAAGATCTGGCAGGGTGGCTGTCGCCCCCCTGCCCAAACCGTCTTAAACACCTTTTTTGATGAGTGGGACATTTCCGCCCCAAGGCCCAAATGATGAAGGCATAAAAAGATCCAAACCCATGAAGGAAACCAAGGAAACTTTGGCCATGTTTTGGCCTATGCCCTGCAAACCAAGTAACTGGAGGTTGCAAACCTTTGAGGCGTGTACCAGTGTCAATCCCCACCGGCCTCTAGCTCTGGCCGAAGCTCCGACAGCAACTGTTCACGCAACTCCTCGGACACCCCAGCCGTTTTGAGACTCCCGCTAAAACTGTGGAGGGCGGTGGGGGAGGGGATGATGAGGGATCTGTGTTTCTCAGATTTCTGGCGGGCTTCATACAACCCTGTTCATTTGCGAAGTGCTAAAACAACAAAAAATCCGTTTGGTCGTTCTGCGATTCAAGATATCTCCCGATGACAAACATGATTCTGACCTCCCCATAAGAGGAATGTCAGAATCCGAAAGGTCGTTTGGCCCTACCAGGGTGAATTATAGGCAGGAAGGGTTCAACCAACAACAACGGTGCGCTATCATATCCAAGCAAAACAATTAGTGAAATTGTGCAAGGCTGCCGATGTTATTGTTGACTTTTGCTGGGGAACAAATACGTATTCTGAATGATTGATGTGCACAGGAAGAATATCCCCATTGAGTATTCATCGGGGTTTACACAAGAGCGCCCGCGATCTCTGAAAAAAATTGCCCCGGTCGGAACAATCTAGGGTTGCTGAGGGGGTGTACATATCCCCAAGGCCCAAGCCTGTGATACAGCTTGGGATCATCTCTATGACTACATGTTATGTTGCCTTGCAGGACTCAGGAAACACATCGGTACCTTACCCCAAAACTATAACTTTCTGGGCAAGATTCCTGCCCAGACCTTTGACCCACTCTGGGCCAACTTGCAGGTGCATTGGGAAGAAAGCCGACATCCCGGTGCAGCTCGGAAGGTGGAGCTGCACGCAAAGCCCTGGTCTCCTCAAAACTGCTCACTCTCGCATGATCTGTAGTAAGGCGAGCTGTCTTCGCTGTGAATGCAACATCTGGTGGCTCCGCAGCCCACAGTTCACCCGGATTGGCAAGCTGCGCGCAGGCAAAAGAATGCCTTTGCCTGCTGACAATGGTGTTAAGACAAAGCAGGATTCCCAGCAGGAGCTAGGTAAATCCATTGTTGACATTCCATCGTCCAATTTCTACAAATTCCCAACCGGACACAACGAATTCCCGTAGTAAAGAACCTTCACCATGGGTGAGGTCGATTCAATTCCAGGCGAGCTCGTTAAACCTTGCATGGAAGAAACAAGGGATTGCATCTCTCGCCGTCGCCTTGTTTCCTTTCCCTCCCATCTGCCGTAAATCCCTGACCAAAATCTGCAGAATCCCTAGAAGAAAAAACTTCATGGGTGTCCCTGTTACCCTCATTCCCGCTAGGCATGCGGGTGTGTATTTAGCCCCTTGCAAAATCTGGCCACCTTCGCGGCCTTAAAACCAGTACAATCCCGCATTCAACAAAGTTCCCTATCTCACTTCCTGACCTGGAGTGATCCGAGCCCCCCAGAAAGACGTCAAGAACCCTAGCAACCCCAAAACCCTTACAAAGTTATTTTCCTCAATCCCCCGCAATCGGGGCCTGTAATTTCCTCCCCACAAAAACGCCAATCAATCCCCATCCCGTCATCCCCCAAGATTTGTAGGAGAAACCAGCCACCCCACCCTTTACGACTTCGGGACCCTTTCCCCCGCTTCACCCAAAAACCCTCCGCAGCGTCGTTTCCCACTGCTTTTGGGCGCGAAAAACTGCCGACCAGCGTCTCGCTTCGGCTTTACGAATCTCCCGCGCCAAAAAAAAAACATTGGTGTCCTTTTAGGGAAATAAGTGGCGCTGGTAGACGACTAAACCACCAGGTAAACCAAGAATCGCCCTCTATTCGAGCAAAACCACCAAAAAGGACATGTTTGCCCTATCCCACTACAAGGGTTCCACTGAAGAAATAGCCACAAACCGCGGATGGGCCAGGATGGGCCCCTCGCAGCCGGCCATTCCTTTTCGGGCACCGGGCCAGGCGCAGCTGGTCCAGCTGCGCGGAGCGCTGCTCCAATCGCTCCAGGCGCCTAACAAGGCGCCAAACCGCCTTTTGTCTGGTGGATTTGTTTTTCTCCGAAGGGATTGGCCAAGCCACGTGTTGTTTTTGGCGGTTGTGTGTGTATTTTGTGGTTTTTGGTGGGCCCAAAACTTGGGTAAGATGTTCCGCTCAACCCTTTTCCCAAGCTCCACCTCCTGTCCTGACAAACAGCAAAGCCCCAGGTGATTGATGTTCGCTTTGAAAAACCTACCTTAGAAATGACCACCACCATTGGGATTTCTTTAGAATCACCCATCTGTCTCCGAAACTGCAAATGTATGGAATTGGAACGGTCCGCTGAATGGACCTGGATCCCCCATAATTCCCGGAGCTTTTCCGTATGCAAGCTACAACCAGTGGTGTGTAAGTCAGTAAGTCGTTTCATGGTTTAAGGTCTGATGTTACCATGTTGAGAACTTTGGTCTCACAGAGATGCAACTAAGCTTTCCTTTGAAACTGTACTAAGCATCGCCCGTGATTCTTCGCCCTCCCTACACCTGAAACGCCCCGTGGTCTCCCCGAAGAATTAACTGGGCTTGCTGGTGTTGTCGAAAAGAAGTGGGGAGAGGAGGTTGGGATCACGTTGGGATCCTACGCATTGTGTCCACTTGTCATTTCTACCTCCACTGTTGCCCCCCCTCCCCCCCGCCCCACCATACGGCGTTTGATGCCGGCCCGTATTTAGTCAGCCGTATGCAAAATGTCAGTTTTTGACACTGCGGGAGGATTAACGTCTTCACATAACTCCTGCCACTAAGGCTGCTCACTGAGTTCTACAAAGAGAAGGATTTCCTCACATCGGAAGATGAGCGCTGGACTCCAAATCAAAAATATGGTATCTATCTGTCGCAACTTCCAAACAACTTGGGCTGCTTTCCTATTCGCGTCCCTTTGAAGCAACCCAACATTTTGCTGCTGTGCAGGAATCATATATGTGATCTCCATCCTCTGGCTACCGGCCTGCTTGGCATTTGCACGTTTGGGAGGCATATCTTGCCCTGCAAATGAAAAGCGTAAGATGCTAAATAGCCAGGTAAATGCGAGCGGGCAATCACTCGCAACGTGTTGTGACACAAAGCTTGGGTGCTGGGAGCTGACAAATCGCCGCGCCGAGTTTGTCTCCAAAGGGAAGCCGGTCTCCATTTTTTCCGTCTTCTGCAGAGAAAGAGGCAAACTCCTTAACAACAACTCGCCCAAAGACATGCTGCTCGGGTTCCCATGTCTTGTCAACTAAACACTATTCTTTGGGCGCGCAAACCGGCCGAAACCAAGTCCCTCGGGGGTGACACTTTGTAGATTTGGGATTTGTGGTTTGGTGTGTGTGTGATGACAATTTCATGCACCCAAAAGATGCCCACCCCCCGCCTCACCAAAGATTCCTGGGCCAAGGGAACGATTGGCGGGTAACTGGCTTGAGGAATGCCTGAGGCGGCCGATACCTCCAACCCAAAGCATGATTGTGCTTGAGTTGTTCAATTCGAAGGGCTGACGCCGTATGTTCTGGTCTGGGTGTACAGAGGGTGTACCCAAGCTTCAGACACCAGCCCCCCCAGACATGGCGATACATAGATTGTCAACTCCAAGGTTCTGGAAGTTAATATTGTGTTTGAAAAGTATCGACGTGAATGGAAAGTTTAGAAGTTCAAACTTTGTTTTGTTGTGTGTTTGTTGTTTGAAGAAAAATAAACTGTGTTATGTTCAAAAGTTTAGAAGTTAAAGCCTTGTGTGTGTCAAAAGATTAGAAGTTAAACTTTGCTTTGTGAGCAAATTGAAAGTTTGGTTTTGGACAAGCCAGTAGCTCGAAGGTAGGACCACACCGTCAGTGTTTGTGTGTATGAGTCCGCCTAGCTTCCGTGTCAAAATGGCGGACCCCAAAAAATGGTGGATTCCTGTTGGTTTCCCTTGGACCAACCTCTAAACGGTACTCTCCCCAACAAAAGGGACACACCCATAGCGCATAGGTTCGTTCCCACCCCCAACAGGACTCGAGCTTAGGTCAAGTAGGATGCAAGGGGCTCGGGGATTTAGATTCACTGCGCGAAGTCAAGACCCGTTCCCTAACACCAAGAAATGTCTCGGTTGCGAAATCTGCTCCAAAAGTGACTCACTTGTAGTGGTTTAATCCGGAAAACCCAGATTCGTTGGCAAAAAGTTGAAGTCCTAACAGCCAAGCAACATGAACCAAAGAAAAATAAAGAGGCCGGAGATCCGCTCCTCTTTCTGCTCGAAACCCGTCCTCAAAGTTCAACTCAGCCTTGTCTTGTGACTCTATTCTCATCCAGTTTGACTGCTGAACACAAGGTGCCACAGCCATGTGCCTGCCATCCTGGAATCTAATGTCGACCCTGGCTCGATCAAACTTCCACATAATTGGGGATATGTTGCCCAACAGTGATTCCCTCTTAAATGGGACAGCCTCCTATTCATCAGCCTTAGGCTTATGCATCCTGGAATCCTTGTAAAACAAGTGGGCTGGTATGTGCATGGAACCCCAAACAACTATGGTGCAGTGTTGCCCCTCTTTCCTGAGTGCCTTCTGAGTATTCGAACCCCAACAAAATGTGTGCTCGCCTCTCCAAGTCAGCAGACTCAACTTCCCCCAAATTTGGTGCTTTGGTCTGGCGGAAAGCACGCTGCTTGCCCAGCTAGCTGCAACATGTTGACCATGCCAGGGGTTCAATCCAAACCGCAACTTGGGCTGCCCGAGCAAACAACACCTCCCAAAAGAAAAGCAGCGTTCTGCTGTTGATTTCTCCCCAAAACGGAAAAGATTCGCGGGATAAAGTCTGCCTTAAAGGTGGTTCCGGAGGATTTCACTGAGTGGTGATTCCGAGTGATTCCGGATTCATCCGCCTGTCCCACCCAACCCAACCAGGATCTTTTTCGGGCAACTGGACATTCCCCGCAGGACAATGATATCTCTGTTGCCCAGTAGTTTCCTCCAGCTGCGAAATTGCGAGCGGCAAGGTCCACCACGTGCCTCCTCCTGCTCCGACTGCGCGCGGGTGCGCGAAGCGCCGCCTCCGAACTGCTGAAAGGGGAGTCCCGAGAATGGGGGTGGGTGGATGTGGATGAGTTTAAGGTTGGTTGGCTTAGGTTTGAGCTGTGTTGAGGCTTGGCTAGGAGTTCCTTTTGGCCTGATTTTGGGTTAGTTCAGGCGGATTGGGGTGATTGTAGCCTTCGTTTGTCGTGAGAGGGTTGGACAAGGGAAAATTGCGTGGGATGACGCGTACTTTGGCCCGACCTCATGTCTGTCACAAGCCGGATGTTCTCAGCCGAAACCCCCGAGCACGCCGGAGCGCAGGCGCCACTGCGTCCTGGAATACGCTGTGGTTCTGAACGCGGCTCTAGCCTGGAGCTCGAGAGCCCGACACGGAGTGGATGGAATCGGAGGTCGAGGGCGATGGGCACGAGGCAGTTTCTGTCAGCTCGGCCGTGGCAATCACTTCTGCTGGGAGCTGGAGGGAGCTGGAGGTGCGGCGCTTGACGGAAGGCACTCAGAAGGCGCATCGAAGATCTGCGCCGGCTTTGGAAGGTGGAGCGGAATGGCGTCCAGGAGTTGGACGTGATGAGGACGGGCAAGGAGGTAAACTCTGCAGGTGTTCATGGCGGTGGTCAGCAGCCTGTCCATCCTCTACAGGTTGGTGGAGACGTGGTGGCAGAGATCCGTGCTGCCGCGGCTTGGGGCATTGCAAGCTAGGAGCTGCAGCGATGAAGAAGAGGTGGAACCAAGAAGCTCCGCACTCCACATAAACGCTCACAAGGACAATAGGGGCGGCTCGAAGTGGTGCATCTGATTCCAGGAGTGAGTCTATCGAGGTGGACCTACGCCCAAACCAATGCTGCGTGGGAAGGGGTGTGAGAAGGGGAGCAGGCGCGAGGGTTCGGTCTGAGCGAGCATTGGGAGCCGAATCAGCGACTGGGGTGAGGACCTCCCGCTTGAACCGATCCGGACCTCGGCCAGCGAAAAGTGCGTCTCGGAGAGCTGCAATGCCTTGCAATATGCCACGCAGACCTTTCCGTTTATCCCATGCTGCCTCCAGACTTCCGGAACCTTCCGGGTCCGATGCTTCACTGAGGCCCAGGCCAGTATCACGCGCTCATGACAAGCGCGGGTGGAAAGCCAGAGAGGATCACTCTCCGCACGTGCTGCAGGCGAAGCCGCATGGGAGGAGCATGAACAGCAAAACTCCCAGATGTACAGGGGCACAAATCGAGAAGTGTAGCCGAAGCGCAAAACGAAAAGGTCCTGCAGCTTGGCAAAAATATAAAACGACACTGGAACCAAAGCGTTACAACTATGCAAACAAAGGAATGGACCCTTTGGTGGACTTCCAGAAACCCATGAGGACTTGTGTCCAGGCAAGAATTTATAGACCTCTGGACCTTAAGTTTGTCCCGGGACGCTCATTTCTGTCCTGGGAGGCCGAGAAGACTTTAAATGATTATCCCTGATAAACTTCTCGAAACCTCAAATTCGCGCATGACCCGGCCGTTGTTAAATTCTTTACACGGGAAATGATAAAAATTGCAACCCGTGCTCCAAATCCAGAGACTGGGGCCACGGCTGAATGAATTAGTCTTTGAGACGAGCAGATGATTATTTGCAGGATCAACCAGGTTTCCAAAAGGAAAACCCGATTTCTTGATCTTCCAGGACCCTGAAAAATGCAGTTGCCTTTGGCTGATCAATTTAAAGGAAGAGGAACATGTGGCAGCCATTTTTGGAAGACTACTCAGGGTCCTTGGAAGACCAATACTTTCCCCAAAGCAATGGGGACGGGTATTTATTTTGACATGGTTTCAGACTTACTTTTTGGCACCCAGATGCTCGGCGAATTGGAGCAACTGTGCCACTCGACCCGACCCCAGATTGAGCAGCGCCGGAGAATCCTCCAAGACTATTTCATGTTTTGGGGGTAGACTATGGAACATCGTCCTGCCCCCCATCCTGGTGTACTTGGAGGCACCTTGCCAAGGATCCTTCGGATCCCCGAAATATGTTTTTGTTTCTTCTTTTTTTTATGTACCCCAATGAATATCCCCTATTTCCAGACACTTTGATGCTTGCAAAGCCACACGTTTTGAAACACCTAGCCCCGGGACAAAATGACTTGTTTCCCAAGACACGGGAAATTGGGTGGGCCCTCGTCCTCCCCAAACGACTTGCTCATATGAGGGGCTCCATGTCCCGAGTGGACCATAGACTACTGGAAAATTTGAGTGAACCTCACACAGGCGTCTTTCCGTTTAACTACCCCTGGGTGGTTCAAATGCAAAATTAATTGGCCACGGAGTTTTGGGGGTCCCTACTTGAAGACAAAGCCACTGCCCCCAAGCGCGAGCCTTCGGAGTCGAAAACGCTCACCAGGCCTTCGCACTCTCCGAATCCCAGCGCACCGGTGTTCGGAGACCCAAAAAACGTCATCAAGGGAAACACTGTGTGCATGACCAGCACACAGAGTCTTCTTTTTCGGCAACAGCATGACACATTTCGGAATGATCATCATGACACATTTCGGAATGATTGCATGTACAAAACCTGGCAATAGCATCACAGCTGTCTGTTCGCTGTTCTTCAGTTCTGCAAAAAACAAATGGACTAATACGCAAACAAAGTAGAAAGCATAGAACCCAAATTGCAAGAATTGCGTTGAGTGTCAAATCAGGCTCTTCAACTGCGAACGTTAAACAACAGCAAGAAGTGAAAGCCAGACTGGCTCAATCAGAGCTACCCACGCGGCCATGGCACTTGTCCGAAAGGCCCACGGCTCGGGTTTCAGAGGCATGCCTTGGGATTTGCCGTTGGCAAGCTTGATTTCCGCTGCAACGCGGAAGGTCATATGTTCAACTTCCGGCCTTCTCATGCGAGGGATAAGTTTGTTACGCATAAGACCATCTCCAAGACCCCCGCAAGGCCATGAAATAGGAAGAGGCTGAAACGATCTTTGGGGAGAAAGACCAACTCTACGGACTCTAATAGAAGAAACCCCATAAGTTATGCTTTCCTCGGAGAATTTTTGTTGTTTGCGGGAATGGAGACCTGGGCCCTGGATGCGCGTTTCAAGACGCCAAAAGGAAACCAAACGAGCCCCTAAGATCTCAATATGTCCTGACTCCGTTTGCGGACAGGAACTCTCGAATTTCCACCAGCAATCCAAATGGGTGACCTCGAACAGCCCAGCCTCCGGAGAGCGCTCTGGACGCCGTCGCTCGCCGGGTCTCACGCGCGGACTCCCCCGAGTTCCTGAGAAAAGGCACTGGGTGCGGCTTTCGGAGGTCAACCCCCTTGTGGTTTGGACGCAATGCCTTTGGGGTCAACCGATTCTCTATGGGTTTTGGCCTGAATAGAAACAAATGGTCTTATTGCGACTTTTGTTTGGAGCCACATCTGTGTATGGCTGCGGCAGGTCAAAATGATAGATTTTGGTTGGCGAGTTTTTAAAAGAAACCGATTGTTGTTTGGAGAAGTTCTTTGATTTCGTCTTTTTTTGCCTTCCTTCTGTCACCCTTATCACCCACCAAAAAGTTGGTTTCCAAGCCGTACTGCCACGCGAATTCCAGGGAGTGATACGTGGCATGCGAACGGTTCGTCTCAGGCTGGCGACAGGTCGTAATTTTGAGCTACTCTCATTTGGGCCACTGTTTTAGGGGAAGCCGACGGTGGGAAAGCACCGCTAGTCTGGCGCTTCTGGGGGACGCACTCGTTGAGGAGTGCTTCTAAATCGGCGAACCTCTCGACATGCTGCGCTCCCCTTAACCAACCAAAAAAGCAGGGCACCAGTTGCTGGACAGACCAGAAGGACCTGTGAGAGTGTTGAACCAGTGTTGCGACAACACATCGGCTGTGTGACAAAATCTGTTGAACACGTTGTTTTGGCAGTCTAGGGGAGGCCAGCAAGAAACCATCTCTAGGGGTCACCTACCCAAACTAAGGCGCTTGCCAGGTTTAGGTAACCTCCATTTGGAGGCTCGATTCCTCATTTGGCACACATACCCATGGCAAACTACGAGTTCCCTACCCTATGTTTCATTAAAGTTTCCCCCACCAAACCAGGCAAAACCTGGGCATACACGGAACTGAGTTAAACATTCCGAGCCTGTCTTTTCTTGAGGCTCCCCCTTTTTGGGGCTTAAAAGCACCTCAAAGACAACGGTTGCGCCGTTTTGGGGGGCGGTTGGGGGGGGTTCCCCAAAAAACCCAGCGACGAGCGCCCATCGGCCCGTAGTCATCCCACGAGCGGCCCGGAGGAGGGGCTCAGCGTGCGCAGCGTGGAGCAGCTGCGCAGCACGCTCTTCGCCGGGCCCTCCGCCTCCATGCGACGTCCGGGCCCCGGCGCTTTGTGTGCGAAGTGGGGGTGTGTTTGTAAAGGGGTTGGCGGATGTGTTGCGGCTTTTAGAGTGTCATTCTTCCAAAATAGATAAAGTTGGCGTCAAAATGTGGCGAAGTCTGCCGAAAGACATCCTTTTGGTGTCCCTTTCCGCACAGATCGCCCGCATCGCATTTCAAGACCCCGAGCCGGGCCGAAGCCCTCGCCAAGTGTGTTCAGCTTGGAGGTAGGTTAGGGGGGGGGTGGCGGACCTGCCCAGTTGAGTTGCAACAAACGGAGGTGCACGTCCCTACACCAATCCAATCCAATTCACGGATACCTGATTATTTGCCGGAATCTCCATGCCAGTTCCTTTCCGGAAAGTGTTTTTGTTGATACCGCTTAGTGCTCGATTCTCCTCTTGTTTGGCAAAAGGTAACAAAAGGCTTCACGGAAAATCGGGCCCTCAACCCCGATGAACCCCATTCAACCCCATTCAACTCCTGGGCCGCAGCCCCAAGACAAACTCTGGCTTTGCGCCATCGAACGAGGTTATGTGGGGGAACCCCTCACGTGAGATATGTGCTGTTGAACATCGCACCAGAGGAAGCTCAGTTCAATTCGCCCAGAAATACGTGGTGTTTAAGCATGTTTAGATATTTTGAGCCATTTTCGACCCATGGTCAAAAGGTGCGGCGCAAACGGCCAAGGGGTTTGCTCCGGACTCCTTACAGACGTCAAGCCAGCTCGAAAGGGGATGAAACTGCCTGTGGGTTAGCTTAGGCAGGACATGCCCTCTCCAATCCTTAGTGGGCAGTTTGGGGGTTGGGGCACCCCGAACCTTGATCCGGGTTTCGGATCGTCAGGTGCACCAGGCTGGCTACAGACCCAGAATTGGTCAACAGTTGGAAAGCTCTCCAGTGAAAGTTTACTCACCACCAAAGCCTGCATGATGCAAATTGGAGTAGGCTGAAGCATGGAAAACAGTGCCAAATTGGGTCGGGGTATGATCAAAAGACATGGTGTAGAGCTCTTAGACAAAGGTGATGTATGGGACACATAAGGTTGTCCTATAGGGGACTTTGGTTTCCTTTGGTGTCCCCGTCAAAACTCCTCAAACATGGTACCCCAAACGCGCGCTGTTTTTATTCAGTCCCTCCTGATACTTTGTGGGATGGACTGGGTCCTTCTGAAAGTGCCCTCGTGAGAACCCCTCAAGCAACCAAGGGCTTTGGCAATCAGCCAGACAAGACACCGCCCCCAACACACACACACACACACACACACACAAACACACACACACACACACACACACACACACACACACACACACACACACACACACACACACACACACACACACACACACACACACACACACACGCGCCAATAAAAAGGGCTGGCCCACTCTTAGCGACCTTCAGGAAATCCGCCTCCGGAGGTGCCCGTCCCTTGGCGATCTCCTCGCACAGGAACTGCCTTGCCCGGGACGTCCGAGAGAAGCAGAGACCCCCAAAAAGGCTGTCAAAACCCCGCAAACCCCTGGTGTGAAGATTTCGTCCCGAAACTTGTGTTGACATGAGTTTGTAACCACCCGGCCTTCCGGCCCAATTCGCCACTTGCCCAAAGGGCGGGACTTTCATCTGAAACCTCGGCCGCGGCCTCGCCATCATGGCATGCGCGGGCCTGAGCCACCTAGAGCCAGGCCAGTGGAAAACATCAGCCCGTTGACTTCGTGCGCAGCGGGGCGGAAGACCAACATCTTCAAGTTGGTAGCGGAGCCGCGATTCGCGGCTACCGATATCCCCATCACACCAGAGCCCATCACGCACCTCACGCTCCCCTTTGGCATCCTCAGCGAAGGGCGCCAAGCCCGATGAATCTGGCGGCACCGCCTCCGGCCACTCCAACGAAGTCAGGGACAACTTCATCCCGGTCTTCGATGGGAGACCCAACAACTACAAGGAGTACCGGATGCGCATCATGCTCTACTACCGGAAGATGAGCCTTCAAAATCGCAAGAGCGAAGCTACCATCAACCTGCTCACCAGCCTCTCCGGCACGGCATGGAAGAATGTGGAGCACATGGTCGACACAGTCCCGGACGCAGAGAACGGCTTTGAGCAAGTGGTCGCACAGCTCGACCTGGCCTTCAAGTATGACGACCGCGTCGAGATGCCCCGCACCTTCGAAAGGTTCTTCTACAACCTGAGCCGGAAGCCGCACCAGAACCTCCTTGCCTACTGCACCGAGCATCGCGAACATCTTCGAGAAGTCGAGCGCCACAAGGTCGTCATCCCGCCGGCGGTCAGTAGCTGGCTACTCCTACGCCGAGCCGGCCTTACGGCCGAGCAACGCCAGCTGGTCCTGGGACAGGTTGGCAACGACTCCTCGCTCGAGAAAATGGAGGGAGTGCTCTATACCTCCTCGGACAGGACTACACCGGAAAGGACAAGCACAACCACGCCCAACGCTGGATTCCTCAGCACGGCCGTGGCCACTACCAATGGAACAACTACCGGAAGCCCGCCACCTACGACGACGAGCTCTACCACGAGGACACCTACAGCGACGAGGAGGACGTCTACTGGGAGGACGAGGACAACATCACTTACCCCGACCAACCCACCGAAGAAGAACAACCACAAGATTTCAACGAAGAGATCTACTTCGATGAGGACCACGAGTACACCTACGACGAGGACGAAGAGGAGGCCTACGCCACCTACATCGATGCCCGCAAGAAGCTTGCGGAACATCGCAGCGCTCGAGGGTACTACCCGGTGGTCGCTCTCACCGACACCAACGCCCTGCCCGTCACTTCCACCTCATCATCCCTACCATCACACGGCGGCAGGGGAAAATCCTCGAAGGGCAAGCACTCCAAGAGCAAGGGCAAGGGAGTCGGAGGCCGGCCACCACAGAAGGGATCTGCATCACAACGTGCTCGTGATGCCCTTCCACCTGGCACCAAATGTCTTCGGTGCGGCCAACCGGGCCACTGCCCACAGAACTCCCAGCCGAACTCTCGGAACAAGCGGCCGAAACCGGCCGACAGCATGGACCGCCTACCTCGAGGACCACGTCGATCAGCCCTACATCACCGGCATGCAGGACGGCGGAGCGTCCGGTGTCCTATGCGGACATGACGTCCTGATGCAGCTCCTCGTCAAGCTCTACCACAAGGGCCTCCCCCTCGAGGAAATCCAGTTCAGCCGGACCAACAAGAGTTTTCGGGTTGGGGGAGACAACAGCAGCATCTCCACCTGGTCTGTGCACCTCCCAGTGTTCATGGCCGGCTACAAGGCCGCATCCATCGTGGAAGGAGGCACACCCCTCCTGATCGGACGTCCGGCCCTCAAGCTCAAGATCGACTACAGCAAGCAGTCCTGCAGTGTCCTCAATGAGCCCTGGCAGCCTGCCACAAAAGGGCCCATGGGCAAGACGACGGCATTGAGGACGCCATCCACCACGACCTCACCTTCGACTACATGACCAACGACGTAGTCACGGACGTGCACCAGCACCTACTCCAGCTCTACACCCTGGAGGACATCGTGGACACGGGCTGCCCTGGACCCATCCTACCTGAAATCGCCCAACACGTTGATTGCACTACGACTGATAACCTGCCCTCCGATGACGCTCCGGACTTCAACCTCCATGAGGGTGTCACGGAGCCGGTACTCGGCGACATCCCCAACAAAATCTGGCGCAGCTTTGATGTCGCTCTTGCAACATGGCACAATCACGTCAACTTCCACCTCAACCAAGCCACCAAGCACAAGCCGGACGGCAAGAAGGTTTTCTGGGAAGTCTACGCCGGGGAGGGAAATCTCTCTCGGGCCATGGCTGATTGCGGCTGGATCGTCCGCACCTTCGACCTCCCGGAGTGGGACTTCACGAAGTCCCACTGCACCAAAGCCTTCTACCAGCTGCTCGACGAGGAACTCCCGGATGCGGGTTGGCTCGCGCCACCTTGCAAGAAGTGGTCTCGCATGCAGAACATCAATCAGAGGACCGCTGAACAAACCGAGCTGCTGCACCTGGACTGAGCACACGACCAACCTGAAGTTCACTCCCCTCTGCCAGCAGCGCGGCGGGCGGCAAGCCTACATCGAGCAGCCCCTTTGGTCCCTGGCGTGGAACACCACCGCCTTCCAACTGGACGGCCATCGCGCCATCTTTGATCAGTGCGCCTACGGCGCGGGTTTCTGGACCTCAGCCACTGTCTGGAACAACATCCGCAAGCCGACAGCTGTGCTCTCCACGGAGCCGATCTTCGCCGAGATCCTGAGCCTCAAATGCCCTGGCAACCACACGCATGTATATCTACAAGGCCACTGCCCCGGGATCGGAAGCCTCACCACGGCTGCTGCCGCGTACCAACCAAGCATGTGCGAAGCTATCAGCGACGCCATCTGCACCAGCGCTGAACAGATCCGGGCGAAGCTCATGGTCACGATCAGCACCTCAACCCGGCCGGCATCCTCCAGAAGATCCTTCCTGGCCAACTTGTTGAAGAAGGCCTCAACCCGACACAACTCCAACCATCAGAGAAATTCCATGAAAAGCTACAACTACAGCTCAAAGCAAGTCAAGCCATCCTCGCCGCCAATGCCGATGCCCGACTCAGACGAGCCCTTCTCCGACAGTATCGCGGCAACTCCGAGCCCCTCACCATCGGCATGAAAGTCTACTACTGGAGGGATGCCGCTGGGACTGGACCCAAGATCAAATGGGAGGGCCCGGCCACCATCGTCATGGTCGAAACCGACAACGAGACCGGCAAGCCCCGATGCTACTGGATCGTCCACGGATCCAACCTTCTCCGTGCGACGGATTTTCGAGGACATGGCCATCCCCGACACCGAGCCACGGTCCGGAATGGAGGAACCACCACCTACATCGACCTTTGGTCTCCGATGATGAGGATGTGAACCCGGACCCAAAGCGACCATCCCCGGACCATGAGCCTCTGGTCGACTACTGGGAGCCTGCTCAATCGCGGGTCCATCAGTTCCCACGACATCAGCTCTTCTGCCCATCACCGGATGACCCCGACATCCCATATCACCGACTCGGAAGCCTTTGGCACACCGAGATCTACCGCCTCGCATCGGACACAGGCCTACCTGCTCTCGAAGCAGAACACCGCAACGACGACTGGCACCAACCTTTCAATATCCAACACCCGTGGATCGGTCGCACTCGCTTCGTTGTGGTCAACAACGAGGGCGATGTGACCATGGGCAAATCACAAGCTCCACCAGAGAGCCCACCACGACCGAACCTACGCTTGAACCGACCACAACTCTGCCGAGCCTTCGGCCATCTCCACCACACGGACCTCAAGCCCCGACAACAACTACATCTACCGACTTCGACCTCTACAAAAAGACGAGCGTGAATCCTTCCACGAACAGCGGCGACGGGTAGACCGACAGGAAACGATCTCCGAGACAGCGGACTACGCCTTCAAGGTCGACATCGTCGACGACACCAGCGACACCAACATGCCTCTCCCACCAGGATGGCACGCTGACGCCTCAGGCCACGTTGTGTTGGACACCATCCACGACGACTGGACCCTCTCCAAAAATGGCAACTACCTCATCCGCAACCACTGCATCCCCCGGAACACGCTCTTCGACCCAAGTGAGGACGGGAATTGCCCCATTCCTCTACCCATGCTCCACAAGTCCCGAACAACTCGTTTCGCAGACGGCCAATCACGACAAGATCGCTGGCGCTGCCGCTCCAACCACCTTGACGAGCAAATCTACTGGACAGGACGCACTTCCTTCAAGATCCAACCGCGAGACCGAGTACGGGCCCACGAGCATTTCTTCAACACGTCAGAAGGTCACCAGACCTATGCCGGCTCTCCACAACAGCGGAAGAAGGACTCCAAGAACCTCTCCGAGCGCACCATGAGCCTCGCAGATCAGCAGAGCTTGTGTGGGAGTTCTCAGATGAGTCAGAAGCTCCGGCACAGCGCATCCTGCGCGCGCACTTCATCCTGAAATTAAACAAGAACGAGGACGTCAGCCCACGTGCCAAGTCTCGGCTCATCACGCAGGGTTTCAAGGACCGTGACGCCCTCAGCGGTATCGTTGAGCGCACCTCGCCCACCGTGACGAGGCTCACGTGCGGCGATCCTCTCCATCGCGGCCAACAACGGATGGGGCACCTTCACGGCGGACATCTCCACCGCATTTCTCCAAGGACGCGAACATGCTCCACACCGCACCCTGTGGATTCGACTCCCGGCTGACGCACGGAACATTCTTGGCATCACCAACTCGCGCATCCTCATGCGGCTCCAGAAGCCCGTGTACGGTTTGGTTTATGCCCCCCGAGCCTGGTATCAAGAAGCCAGCGAACGACCTCAACTTCACCTCCACTCCTGGCCATCATCGGTCTCCATGTTGATGACCCACTTGGCACCGCCGACAAGAGCCATCCCAAGGTCACAAAATTGATCGAGGACCTCAAGAACATCTTGGAAAGAAGGTCCCAGCCTTGAATACTGCGGCGCCTGGAGGCCACCGACGGCGGCTGGAAACTACATCACAAAGAATACCTCAAGAAGGTCAAGCCCATCACCGTCGGCAAGGACCGCCAACTCAGCAAGTGACGGGAACCTTCTCCGATCCCTCCTTGGAGCCCTGCAATGGCCAGCAGTGCAAAGCTCACCACATCTGCAAATTCAATTCACACCTCAATGTTCTCCGGCGAGATCACCACTGCCACCATTGAGACCATCCACAACACCAACAAGGCCCTCCATTACGCAAAGAGCAATGACGACGTTGGCCTCACCTATCTATCGGCCCATCGCCCCCATTGCAGACTGTTGCCTGCGTCTGATGCAGCCTTTGCATCCAGAAAAGATCACAGCTCGCAGGGAGGCTTCATCGTCGCCCTGATGCACAAGGACGCCATCGAGAAGGGCTTTGAGAGCGAGTACCACATTCTGGACTGGCGCTCATTTCGGTTGCCACGGGTTGCTCGCTCAACCTTGGCCGCCGAGAGCCAAGCTGCAGCCGAAGCGGCAGACGCCCTCACCTTTGCGCCCGCGAGATACATCTCTCTGCTCATGAACCCCAACCTCAAGCACGGCGACCCCATGCTCGGCGTCATGAACACCCCTGCCACCTTGGCGGTTGACGCCAAGGCACTATATGACCTCCTCGAGAAGCGGGAAGTTCAAGCATCCCTGGGCAGTGACAAGCGCACCGCCATTGAGGTCATCGTCACCAAGGACGCCAAAAAACCTGACGGACTCACCAAGGTGTCCGCCGCCCAGCTCCTGGCGGACCGGCTTCGACTCCACCGGACACGACTGGTAGATACGCGATTTCCTGCACGGCAACACACCACCTCGACGGCATCCTGGGTAGCAACGACGCTCACGCTTCCCACCATAGCCACAGCCCACTCCGAGGAGCAGCTCTACGGCAGTGACTATGTGCTGCTGTTCCTGCCCCTGATGATCCTCTTGATCGGCATCCTGATGTGCGGCTTTGTCATGACAAGCCACTTTCGCACGCACGGACTCACTGAAGCACAACGCCCCCAAGAGCGCATCCATCAGCTCGTTCTCCTCTCCGACGAGAAGGCCTATGTCAAGTCCACGGAGGAGGCCCTCATCGAAGCGCAGGACAAGCTCAAGGCCATGCACGAGTCAGCGAACATCGCCGCTGGGGAAATCATGCGGCTACGCCAGGAAAACCGGCAACAGCACCGCGACCTGCGAATGACAGAAGGCGCGCTTCGGGACGCCACCACCTCGGCGATCTACCTCTGCCGGAGTGGAATTGTCTACCACCGCCTCCGAGAATGTGCTGAGCAGCGAGTGCAGGAAATGATCACCACGCGGCGCCCCTGCAGAGTGTGTGTGCACCCAAGCGACTCCATTCGGGCACCAGCGTCCGGCAGCGGCACGCGCTGAACATGGAGGGCATCCACCGGGACACCGTGACCTGAGTCTGGCACCGACCCTGGGACTGGCAGTTTTGTTTGCTTTGCCTCTCCCACCAGTGTGAAGATTTCGTCCCGAAACTTGTGTTGACATGAGTTTGTAACCACCCGGCCTTTCGGCCCAATTCGCCACCTGCCCAAAGGGCAGGACTTTCATCTGAAACCTCGGCCACGGCCTCGCCATCATGGCATGCGCAGCCTGAGCCACCTAGAGCCAGGCCAGTGGAAAACATCAGCCCGTTGACTTCGTGCGCAGCGGGGCGGAAGGCCAACATCTTCAAGCCTGGTGAATGGATGTTCATCCACCCCAAAGATGGAGCCATAGGTTCTGCCCCATGGCCAAAAAGGACGGGCACCAAATTTGCGCAAAATTTCAAGGGAACTGTGCAAAGCTGGCCCGAATCTGCAAGTGCTATGGCAGCAGATTGACTCAGTCGCCGTTGATTGCAGAAGGAAGATGCGGGGTTTTCCGTTTTCCGAGCGGAAAAAAAGTGCAGCCTGCATGGGAATCCGTTGGCTTGTCCCCAAGATTCGCGTTGGAGGGAAACAACACTGTGGTTGCGTCCAAAAGGGGCAGGTCATTGAAGGTACACAACTAACCCCGTGTTGGCTTGGAGTATTCAGGATATGATTGCCCCCAGCTTCCTCCCCAAGAAATAACAGTCTGCAAGCCACCAATCCCCGAACCAAATGCAAGCCATTTTGGGCAGGCCCAAATCTGGGTCTTCCCAATAGCGACTGGGAAGGCGACACCAATTGGGTATGTATCCGCAAAATTAAACGGGAGAATGACAAGGTGTTCTTTCCCCCGAACATACCACCGAAACTGGAGACATAAATCTCCCAGTCGGTGTCATCCCCATATGGCTTCCAAACCCAACCAAACCAAGTTCATGTCAGGTGCAGGCTTTAGCCAACATAATGCCGATAAGGTTATGAGCTTCCCCCGGTGTTGGTTTCTCTGGCTGATCCAACACCATGATTAAAATCAATGCGCCTGAAATTATCTCCTTTGGGTCCATTTTCTTATTCGTGACTAGGGTATGGTTGTTTCATCAATTGTCGTCCATGTACAGTACGGAGCCCTATTTGGGATGGGCTGGAAACCAAACCGAGACGATCATGTAGGGTCCAGATGTAGAAACAGGCCCTCTTTGGGTTTCCCTTCTGCTTAGACAAATTCTGCCCGACCCTGGCTTGCAATGGAAACCAATTCGGACCTTTTTTGCAAAACGCGCAGCCGCAGTCACTTGGGCATATGTCAAGATCCTGTGGCTCCCTTTCAACCCACGCCAAAACCGGCACAAATGGACCAAGACCCCGGCATCTTTTCGTGCATGTCCTCCAGCAAACATCGGATGCTGGCATCATGATCCGCTTCCTCGCCTGGCGTCGACGCTTCAGCGGCCAAAACGGTCGATTCGCTGCGGGCTGGGTCTGGCCGAAGCGTCTGGCAACATGTGGTAAGGCTGCCACTGAACTACCTCCCAAAACAGGGAGTCCAAGCAATTTGGGACTGAAAATATGAACTAGGAACTCTCAGCAAAGGGATGGACAAAGGCCTCTGCACGTTGAGTTGCCTGAAGAACAAATGATTTTGGACAGTTTTATTCTTGGATCAGGGTTTCATGGCCAGGCTGCTGGTGAGCGTCTAGACAGTAACCTAACAAGGGGACACTAGACAAGCAGAGCTCCATGCGGCGAAAATTGGGACAGGATGGTCTTCGCCAAAAACAAAATAGGTTGGGTGTTCCCCAACTTAACACCATGTTGTCTCTGACCCTTTTCACCCCTGAAGACAATACCCAAGAAATGGCACCGTTGTTCCTGCTCCCTTCCACGCGAAACAAACCCCGTTGATCAGAGTGGGCTTTGGTTTCCCGCCTGAAAGGACCATCTTGGAAACTAGGCCAACGGTGAAACCTGTCGTCCGGAATCCGTTTTTCGCCCTTTGAAACGCTCGCGGGGCTAACAGCCTTGGATCAGTTTCACTTCTGGGGGCCTTCCGCGACTTGGGATTACAGGGATCCGTCAAAGGCGTCGCCCTCGAAAAGCTCGTTTTCGGCGACCACCACCACCACCACCCCCTGATCTCCTTTGCCACCCGTCTTACTTCTCTTTACCTCTTTTCTCACTTCTCCCCACACCCACCCGTCCCTTCGCTCTGAAGGGGCCGGGTTCTTGCGGGGAGGAGGGTGGTGGTGGTGCAATCCCGGAGCATGGCAATAGGATATGACGGCTTCGGTGCCAACCTGCAAAGGACACCCTTTAAACAACACACACACAGTCACACAGACACACACACACACAAACATCCATTGCAAAAATCGAAAACCGGTCCAAACGAGGCCGGCAGCACATGTAATCGGCTCTGACGCCATGACTGATGTAAGTTGCGGAAAAGCCAGGCCAAGCGTGTTTTTTGGTTCTACTAAACACCTGCTGAGGGGCTACTTTAGCTAGTAACTACTCATAGGCAAATACAAGTAAAGTGAACTGTGTTTGTCCTATTGAAAGTTGTATTGAGTTTAGTGGCCAGTTGCAGTGAGGAATCGTTTGCGACACTGCGGCTTCATATGGCAAGGATACACTCGAGCAAATCTGTGTGCGAAGCCGACGTCATTTGTCCAGTGTGGCTGCCTCGCGGAGATGACCGCCTTGCGGATGTTTTTGTCATTTTAGTTTGGAAACGTCTGTATCTTTGAGCACCTGAACTCTGTCACGCCACGTGCCCCGTCATTGTCGCACTCCATTGGGGCATTCGGTGAGGAGACAACAAAGCTTTTACAGATCTGGAGCAGTAGTCTACAGGCCTTTGTCTTGTCGCACGTGGCGGCAATCATTTACGGGTGTCAAAGACTCAGCAGCGCCTACACCCGCCAGTTTTTCTGCGCAGCCGCATCCATGGCTAACAACTTTTGTCATGTGTGCATGATTGTTTGGTGCGACACATGATGCCTGAATCATTCATACATGTTGCCGACAGCGGCAAAACGGTCCCATGACGACAGCTTGTTGCAGTCTAGACCTCCGCTGGACGAGGTCTACTGCAGCACCCAACGCGCGCTGGCCTTGTTATATTGTCATGGCCATCATGAAATAAAAGAGTTTCGTGCAATGTGTTTGTGCGGCTGGGCTGACAGTGGACGCTGCAGACCTTGGGAGCTTGTCTGTTGGCTATCAGCCGTGTCATTGTTGTCATGTGTCACGTGCGAGAACTTAGAACGTTTCATGTTAAGGCCTGTTGCACTGCTCCTAGCTTGAACCCAAACAACCCTCACATCAAAGATCCCCGCAAATCCGAAAGGCGCGCACTCTGTTCTCACGGGTTGATTGAAAGTTGCCTGAGACATGGAAAGGCGCCAGACAGGCGTGTCCTGGCTTATTGCAGCGCAAGCACACAGCGTGGCAAGCGTGCCCACGCTGATGTGTGCGGCGAGGGAGTACCGCGGGCACAGCCCTAGGCAAGGCGAGGGCAGGCGTGCCCAAGCCTAGCCCTAAGGTGCAGAGCGTCTGCAGCCTCGAGCCAGCCTTGTGAAAGGCAAAGTAGGGTGGGAGGGTGGGTTTCAATCGACGAAACAAACGGTTTGAGTTCAAGGCTAGGAGCAAAATGGCTCACAACAGGCCCTAAACATAAGGGAAAAGAAAACCCTAAGCGTTAAGGCCTGTTGCACTGCTCCTAGCTTGAACCCAAACAACCCTCACATCAAAGATCCCCGCAAATCCGAAAGGCGCGCACTCTTTTCTCACGGCTGCACTGCCTCCAGGGCACGTGGTGCACCTGGAGCAGGAGGAAGTATTGTCCCCTCTTCAGTGTTTCCAAGCAACCCCGGAAAGAGCTGAGCCAGCTGAGTAGCCGACCAAACTGAAGGGGGGGGGGGTTGCGCCTGACAGGGCGAATGTGCACATTGTTCGGAAACTGCTTGAGATGCATGGTGGCATGCTTGAATCCGCTCTTTTAGCGCGCTGAGTTTGGTCACAAACTCTTTGATGCGGCAGCCAGGTGTTCTGGCCGCCAAGGCGCATCGATGGGGCACAGAGTGAGCCCCCTTCCCGCCTGAACAAGGCTGCGAGGGCTGAAGCGCATGCGGTCTGCAGGGCGGTCATGAAACGGTGAAGGCGTCCTCGGCTGAGGTCGTCCGCCCAGTCGTTCAGACGTCCGGGCACGTGTGTGGGCTGCAGGTGCACGTTGCGCGCGTGAGCCCAGGTGGCCACCAGTTGCAGAAACACCTGCAAAGGCCAAGAAGTGCTGAACAGCTTGTTGATGCCTGCTTCGGTGGCCGAGTTGTCCGTGCCGGACGGCAGGCTGGAGGAGTATAGTGGCCTGCAGAAAGTGCTAACTGGGCTAGGGTATCGAAGCAAGCAATGTAGCGCTGGGCAGGCTTGGTAAGGCAAGGCCGCGCGGATCTAACCTCGCTCATGTTCCATGTTTCTGCAAACCAAACCACCTGAGTGGAGGTCACGGCCCGTCCTCCAACGCCGACTATGGCACATGCGTCGGCAGCTGCTATGGCTTGGAGTCTGCAAGGCTGTGCAATTGGTTGGATGGGCGAGTGCTAGCGCTGGCTGAACTTGGAGAGCCTCCTCATATGCCCCCGTGGTCAACAATGCGTGTTCGACCAGGCGCCAGGTGTCCAGGCTGAGTCCTGGCAGCATCTGCAGCGTTCGGTGCTTATTGCAAGCTGTCGCTGGCGTGAGATGCGTCTCACGGTGATGAACCAAATTTTTTGTGACCTTTGCGTAAAGGTCCGAAGCGGTGACAAACGGTGACAACCTCGGCGGGATGGAATTCGCCTGTTTTCCGGAATCCTGAGCAAAGTGACCGTCTGGAGCCTGCTTTCGGCTCAGGCATCCCACTTGCCGTCTGACACGAAAAACGAACTCTTCGGAGTTGGCCGTTTTGAGCGCTTTTTGCACCAAAAAACGGAGCCGGACGGAGCGGTGACATCAGTGGTGACAAGCTCGGCGGGCTGACGTGCCGCAGGCCGAAACCTCAGCGGGCTGCCGCGCTCCGAGCCAGGTCCTCGGCGGGCTGTCGGGCCGCGGAAAATCTTGGAACTGGGCCGCTTTTGCGCACTTTTTCGACCCAAGAGAGAGTGGTGACAAAGCGGAGGCGACGGTGACAAGCTCAGCGCGGGCAGAAAACGGAATTCAGAGCACGGCGAACGTCTGGAGCCCGATTTCGACCGAAAACGAGCGAATTTGGAGGCTCAGGCACCACATTTGACGTCTGACACGAAAAAACGAACTTTTCGGAGTTGGCCGTTTTGAGCGCTTTTTGCACCAAAAACGGAGCGGCGACGAAGCGGTGACATCGCTGGTGACGAGTTCAGCTGGTTGAAAATTATGCAGTTTTGGCGGGTTTTTTTGCCAAAAAACCCCAAGAATTAGGTTACTATAAGCTGCCTTTCCTTACTACTCAGAGCGCGCAAGGCTAAGAGCGTCCTTGTCCACCCACGCGGCAGGCTTTTTCAGAAGCCATGCCTGCACGCACGGAAGGCATTCAAGCATTTGGGACCACCTCCCTTTTTGAGACTCTGTTCTCTGTGCCTCTTCTACTCTACATCTCCGACAGCTCCGCCTGCCACTCACTGAGCTTCTTCGGGTCGGGGCGGGAGCTCGGGCGGGCCCCCGTAATCTAGGACCGCGTCCCAATAATCCCACTTCCCGCCCACGTCTCATCAGCCTCAAACCAGCGCAGGGCAAGCTCTGCCCGCTAGGCGCGCGCGGCCTGGCCGTCAATGGCCTCTTCAGAGACGTAGCCACCTCTTTCATGATTTCCTCCGGGTCCACGCCTGCAACGAGGCATTTCTCGAGGTCAGCCATCCTCCTCCGCGTCAAGCGCCGGTGCGAGCGCTCGGCCTCAAGCACGTTCTTCGCGAGGCCGCTTGGGAGGCCGCTGGGCCATTAGGGGCCGAAGGCAGGGAGCAGTCATGATAGCTTAAAGCGGCTGCGCGGGGTTTTTTGGGACCATTCGAGCATTTGGGACCATTCGAGCATTCGGCGGACTTTTTTCTTTAGCGCGTCCTCAAGCTCACCAGCGCGCTCGCTCCAGCTCCTCATCTCATCAACGCGCACCTCCGCCAGCACCGCTCGCTCGCGAAGATCTTCGTTCTCTTCCTCGAGGAACTTGATGCGGCGGTTCAGCCGCCAGCCGAGCTCCTCGCAGCGTAGTTTCACTGTCAACATCCTCCTCAAGCTCATCTGCGCGCGCCTCCCTCACGCTGTTCCTCGATGATCTCGATGTGGCGGTTCTGCATCCAGCGGAGATTTCTGTTGTCGCGCTCCCACTCCTCGCGGCGCATAATTTCACCGATGAGCTCCTCATCGAGGCTCGGCCTCGAGCAGCGCATCCTCGCGAGGCCGCATGGGCGGCCGCTGGGCCATCAAAGCGGCCGCAAGGATGGGTCCTCGCCCACCCACGCGGCGGGCTTCTCCAGAAGCCATGCCTGCACGCAACGGAAGGCCATTGAGGAAGTCATCTTGAGCAGCTGCTGCGGATCGAATGAGTATTATCAAATGGACGAGAAAGCGAGAAGGCGAGAAAACAAGAGCTCGGGATCTTTTTTTTTTTCGGTTCCGACAGTCTACGCCCAGCATCGGCTCAGCCTCAGCGGCAGTCTCGGAGCGGGCGCCAGATGCGGGGGCCCCACGAGGAACTCCATCACGAGGTCGAAGGGCGCGGAGCCGGGCGGAGCGTAAGCGCCCAGCATCCGCAGCTGCTCCAGGTTGCGCCAGTGTCCCAGCGGGCGCGAGTTGTGAGCGTCGAGGCCGTACACCTTGTCGTTGAAGGGTGAGAGGGACTTCTTCTCGACGGTCTCCACGGCGATCTCGTGCGCGCGGCTGCGCAGCTGCGCGAAGGCCGCCCTGCGCTCGCTGCCTTCCTCCCTGTACTCAAGATGCCGGACGCTGGTCACCGCCTTCTTGGGCACGCCCTTGATCTTGCGCTTCTCCTTGCGCGCCGTCGGGCTGGACCGTGAGGATGCTGTACATCTTGGAGCGCAGGCCTACGTACTCGAGGATCCTGGCTGGGAAGGTCTCGTCGCCCTCGATGGCCTTGGCGCGCGCCGCTGCCGAGAGCTCAGGTCCCTCTCGGGGTCCTTGGACTTGCCGGCCACGTCGAAGAGGGTCGCCTCAGCCATGGCGTAGCGGGATCTGCACCATCACGGAGTCGGTGTCCGTGAAGAGCAGCCTCATCTTCGGGAAGAGCCTCCTTATGTGGAGGTAGTAGGCCTTCTCCATCATGAGCTTGGAGAGCTGCAGCGTGCGGGCGCCGACTTGGGTGGGCACGCTCACGCAGGCCTTGCTGCGGTCCGTCTTGAGCGTCTCCACGAAGGCCAGGAACCCCTCCGAGTCGTTGATCTGGAACTTGAAATTCGTCACGGAGCTCTTGCCCACGGCCCGCTCGAACTTGGC